GCGGCGGCGGCGGCGGCGGCGGCGGCGGCGGCGGCGGCCACGGGCCCCGTGGAGGGGAGGCTCGGCCGCTCTCGGCCGCGCGGGCTGAATCAACGGCCGCCGGCGCCGGCCTTCCCCTCTCCCCACACGCGACACGGCCGACGCCGCCGCCGCCGCCGCCGCCGGTCGCGGGGGCCTCCGAGGCGCCGGCGAGGCGCTGACACGCCGCGCCGTGCCTTCCCGCGCGACGGCCGCCTTCCGTGGCGGGCGGCGGACGGCCGTGTGGCGCGGCCGCGCCGGAGCCGGAGGGCGCGGCCGCCCGCGGACGTAGCGAGGCCGGCGCCCGCGTGGGCGCGCCACACGTCGCACCCGCCACGGCCGTCGGCCCACGAGCGCGGGCGGCCACCCACACGGCCCACGGCCCACGGCCCACGGCCACCCGGCGGCGGCGAGCCGTCGGACCCGGCACGTCGCGGGATCGACGACCGCGGCGCGCCCGTCACGGCCAGCGAGAGCCAACCGCGTCGGCTCCCGCGAGGTCCCGCGAGGTCCACCCGAAAAAAATAAATATGACGCGGACGGCAAAACTATATAACAAATGGCGATCATCCTAAAAAGGCGGTCCGCAAAAATACTCAGCCGCCGGTGCCAGCACCGCATGGACGAGCCGCCCTGATCACGGCAGCAACCCCCGCTGCTGCAACGCCGGAGCGCCTCGAGAGGAGCCAAGCGGGGCGACGATCCCTCCAATCACCGATGCCGCCGCGGCGGGCCATCGTTTTCTCTGCATTGGTTTACATGATCAGGGTCGGGCGAGGGGAGATAAGCGCCTCGTGGCCCCCGTCGGAGCGCGGCGGAGCGCAACACGAGGGTCGGACGACCGAGCCTTCCGTGCGCACGCGAACGCACGGTCGCCGTACCGGCGCGGGACGTCGGACGGCCAGCCGCGGCGGGTCATCGCTCGCCCGCGCTCGCCCGCGCCCGCGGGTGAGCGAGCAACCGGGTGCCGGCACGCGCCGCGGCAGAGCCCCCGCGTGAGAGGCACGCGTCGGGCTGTTAGAAATCATCGTTGACCTGGGCCATGAACTGGCGCAGCGCCAGCAAGGTCGGCAGCACGGTCAATGTATTCGAGCGCGCCAGGCTCGACTAGCAATGGGTCCGATGGCGCCGCGTGGCGCGGTCGTCATGTCACGACGCATCGAAGCAACGAAGAACAAGGCAAACGAAGGATGAGATCTGGGCGTGTCACGCCTCATGGAAGCATCCATCCGACCCAGCGGCGACGCCGATGCGATCGGCCTTTCGGGCCCCGCTGCTCCTCTCCCCCGTCTCATGACAGGGAAGCCGCAAGACACGGGCACGCGAGTCCACTTACCCGACTCAAGAGACCGCTGGGGGCCGCAAAGGGCGCGTCGGCAGCGGAAGCGCTGCTCGACGGCAGACTCGACGACGACGACGACGACGACGAGGTGGAAGCGGACGGTGGCGGGGCCGACGCGGACGCCGTGGGCGGCGGCGGCGCGGCGGCGCGCTGCGCAAAGGCGGCGAACGCGGTGGCCGTGGCCTGCCGCGGCGTCCGCGGCCTCGACGCCGCGGCCAAGCTCGGCGACCGACGCGCCGCGCCGCGCGCCGCGTGCCCAAGGATGGCCATCGGGGTCGTGCGCTGGATCACGCGCGGTGGCGAGCCTCCGAGCACGCGGTGACGCGGCTGTGGTCGGCACGATAGTCGTCCTTCGCGTCACGCGCGCTCAGCGGGACAGGGCGAGCGCGTACACTGGGGACCGTCAGGGGTGCGGCGCTTGGATCCGTCGGGAAAGGGGGAATGGCGGCCAGCAGGAGCCCAGAGAGAACAGCGGTCGGCAGGCCGTGGCGACGACCGTGGCGGAGACAGCACGAGCGGCCGAGAGAAGGAAGACCCGCGGCGGCGGCGGACGAGCACGGATCGTCGTCGACGTGGAGGAGGGCAGCGCCGCTGCGTCTCCCGACCGTCGCCCAGCGCCGACGCCGTCCTGTAGGCCGCGGCAGCCGGCACGGGTCTGCACAGGGCCCTCAGGATCCCCGCCGAGGCTCGCGGCGACCGGCGCGGTCGCTCAGCGCGGGCGCTGCGGCGTCATTCGGCCGCCGCGGCGAGGGTCGAGCACGCCGTCGCCGTCGCCGTCGCCGTCGCCGGCCGCGGCACGGCGGACCCCGTTCCGACCGCCACGGCCGCCACGGTCGCGTGCGGGGGACGGCCAGGGCGGCCGACACGGGCGGTCGCTGCACACCCGCGGCATGGCGGAGCCGGCGGCGCGGGCGCAGGCAGCCCGGGGCCCCCCACGAATGCCATTGTCGGCTCTGGCGGCTCGCGGCCGCCCCTCAGATCGTCTGTCGAGGGAGGCGCCTCTCGCGCGTCTCGCCGCGCCGCGCCGAGACGGGGGTTCGAGACGGCCGTCGTCGTGATCCCGCGTGGATCACGGCGCTCCCAGCACGCACACCGGGAACACGCGTCGGCAGCCGCCCTAGCGCGCCCGTGCTCACCGCACCCATCGAGTGCCCATCGTGGCATCCTCCCCGACCCACGCGACGTCCCGCCTGCGCCTCCGTCGCTCGTACGCCGCTCCATCGGCCCCGCTCCCTGCTCGGCGCGCTGCCCCGTCTGCGCCGCGCACATCGCCACATCGGCCGCATCATCATTGCTTGTCGCCGCTCAACGCCACGGGATTGCCGTGGTCGCGCCCTCTGACGCCGCGTGCGTGATCCACTCGGCGGCTGGAGCAGGGCGGAACCACGGGGCCCGTTCGCGGTGTCGCGCCCTCGGTATCGTGCGGATCGCCGTTCCGCCATCGTCGTCGTCGTCCGCTGATGCATCCCCAAGCGCCGTCTCATTTGGAACGGACCGTGCGGCCTGGCACGATATTGCGTTGCATGACACGGCGTTATATGACCCCACGGCACGCTTCTTTCTGATCCATCAAGCTTCCCGATCGGAGTCGCCGATCGGAACGGCCACACCCCCACCACTCTCCCATCTTCGCAAAAGCATCACGCCGGTACGATGCAGTCGAATGGGCCACCCTATGGCGGGTATCCGGGCGCGAACGCGATGCCTCAGACGCCCATGATGTCCCAGCAGCAGCAGCAGCAGCAGCAGCAACAGCCACTCTACCACCCGGCCCAGCATGCGACATCGCCGCCCGCCGCGAGTTATTCTCCCGCCGGCTCGATACCCCCGGGCGCATCCCATCTGCACACGTCGCCCATGCACGCCTCGCCCATGCACGCGTCTCCGATGCATGCCTCGCCGATGCAAGCACCACCCATGCAAGCACCGCCCATGGGCCTGCCAGGCATGCCCGGCATGACCGCCACCACCGCCGGCCCCGCAGCCCTGGGCCCGCCGCCGACCGGCGGCTACGCGGCCTACCCCGAAGGCCACCCCTCGCACCAGCTCCCGCGCAACGTCACGTACCAGCAGAGCGTCCGCGGCCTCAGCGGCTGGAACGACCCGCCATCCGCGATCGCCGGCGGCGCCGGCCTCAAGGCGGCTGCGGCGGTGGTACCCGGCGGCCGCGGGATCGACCCGCCCGCCGTCTTTGCCCAGCTCCGCAAGCGCTATCCGGACCAGGAGCCGCGCGGGTTCGTGATGCGCGAGCTCCACGACGCACTGGCGCGGATCAAGGAAGCCGCGGCCGCGCCCGCATCGCGCGAGCGCTTCACGCCGCAGATGGACCGCCAGATCGCCGACACCGAGCGGCGCCAGGAGGCGCTGATCGATATCTTGGCCGGCGAGGGCGTGACGGACCTCTGTCTCGCCAACCTGGTGCGCTTCGCAATGGGCCTACGGGAACGCCAGTGGGACGAGGCGCAGCAGGCCGCAACCGCGCTCGCCGTCGGGAGCCAGACGAGCCAGTTCGAGGGTGGGCAGTGGATCGTGGGCATCAAGCGGCTGATGGAGTTGATGCGGACTTATTCGACGTCTTGAGTCCTCCATGGAGTGTGGGGTCCTCCTCCGCCGCGGCCCTGCTCCCATCTCTGCCCCCGACTGACGAATCAGTCGTTTCATTCGTCATTTCACCCCCCTCCAATGTGCTTTGATAACTTTTTTGACTCGATGTCGCGTTGCTTGACACGAACCATGGAGCGCATGGGGCCGATCCCGGGATCGGCACCACGCGTGGCCGGTTCTTCTAAATAATGCTTCACCGGTCGTGACAAGGGTGAGAGGCGCGAGGACAAACGACTCATATGGTGATGGCTTCAATGACGAACCTGGACACGGCTCGGATGCGGCAATAGCATATGCGGCTAGGCCAAGGGGCAGGTCGGCTACCCGGTCGGCTACTAATTGGGTTAACAAAAGCCAAAAAAAAAGTCATCCAAACTGCGGATCAATCCGGGTTCGAACCGGAGGCCTATCGCATGCGAAGCGATCGCGCTGCCAAACTGCGCCATTGACCCGATTGTTTTTTTTTTTGTTCTGGGGGTCTCACGCGAGCTACATTCCTTTTGGAATTCGGCCTTGATTCGGACAGGTGATCAGAAAACATTTGCGCAGAGTTCGACTCAA